CCAAATCAGATTGAAGTCTTCGTGTATGACAGCGTTTTGCTTACAGAAAAAAATACTTTTCCTTTAGGTGTCGTGTCCTGTGAGAACCAGTACCCTCCTTCCTCTGGCAGGCAGGAGGAGTACCTCAGCTCTGGTCCCATGTGTCGCTACGCTGAAGACCTTCTGCCTATGCTCAAGATCATGGCCGGACCCAGAGTTAACATGTAAGGCCCTGCTGCTTTTGCTTCATCTGAGTGTAATTCGGGGCTAATGTGTTAATTCTTTTATTTATTTGTATTAATTTATCTACATGTATAAGTGACACAGTGTGCAGTCTGTGTTCGTGCACAAATTCAGTTCTTATGGTGCCAAGGTAAGAACTGGGGCTTACTTAGAAGAGGCTGCAGGCCTTCTAAAGCATATAGTGTGTGTGTGTGTGTGTGTGTGTGTTTGTGTGTGTGTGTGTGTGTGTGTGAGAACTGGACACACCCACATTGATAAATTGATAGCAGATGTTTCATATCCCTAATCTGCTATCAATTTATCAATGTGGGTGTGTCCATAAAATGCATCCAGCTATCTCGGTGCAAATTTTTTTTTTTTTTAGTGCTTCATGGACGTGATAACGATCCACACGCAGTAACATTTTATACTCTCCTAAACTTCTTACATTTTATTTGACTGACGATTGCTCGCACATAAGAGGATTTTTGATGTTGGCTTAAATGTAATATCCTGGCCACGATGTTAAACTAACTACATCATGTCTTTTGTCTTCTTCGTCCCCATCACCCCCCAACCATATCTTGTTAAAAGGGAGATTTTCCTTCCCACTGCCTCAAATTGCTTCCTCATATGGGGTTTTGTGATTGTCAGGGGTTTTTTTTCTAATATATTCAATTCCTTATTCTTATATCTTTCATATATTTAAGGCTTAGAGAGTAGCTGCAGCTCAGGAGATGAGGCAGGTCATCCACTAAGTGGAACAGTGGTGGTTTGATCCCTGGCTGTTCTAGTGTGCATGCAAAGTATTCTTGGGCAAGATACTGAACCCCAAGTTGCTCATCGATGCATCCATTGGAGTGTGAATGTTAGAAATAGACAGTACTTAAAAAAAGTGCTTATATGATTACGTGCATCTTGTATAAAGTGCTTTGAGTGCTCCACTAGAAACCCACTACATAAGAACCAACCCATTTACTTTTTACCCTACAATATAAAGCAACTTGATGTCACTGTTATGATTTTTTTTTTTTTTTTTTCTTTTCGCTATAAAAATTCTCAGTTTGGCTCACCTGTTGTGAGAGCAACCTAAAATAAAACAACTCAGTAACTATGAATAATTTTGATTTCATTTAAAGAATATTGAAGTTTTCTTTGTTTTTGTGCAGCCAAACGCAGGAGATGGCAGACATAATACAGGTCAAAGGAGCTTGCAAAGAAAAGCGTCTGGACTTCTTTAAGTTGCTTGAAGACGTTTCACCTCTCATCCAAGAAGCTTCTTCAGTTCTAAGGTCAAATGGCGGAGAGTCCCTTCTACCCTCTCCAATCTTAGGAGAGGTTTACAAGTTTGTGGACAAGGCTCACTCTAAAGGAAAAGAAAGACAACACAGGAAATTTCACACCTTGCTTTCTAAAACACACAGTCCTCATTCTGAACCTACACAACTCAGAGAAGAAAACACACCTGAGGACAGTCAGAAGAAATGGGTAAAGAACTTTTCAGACCGGAATCTCACTGAACCTGAAAAGAAAGTAATAGCCAAAGGGCTCAATTTTGCCATTTCTCCACAACAGTTGCCCATAGTGACCCTCATCACAGCCACAGAAACAGACAGAAGCAGAGCAAATCAGGATGAAAGTCTCAGCCACCCTCTCCAGTGCCAAAGTTCCTCCGTCCAACCTCACAATACA